CTCTGTTTTTATGCCAATACCAAGCTGTTTTCAATACTGTAGCTCTGTAATAGAGTTTGAAGTCAGGGATGGTAATGCCTCCAGACGTTCCTTTATTGTATAAGATTGTTTTGGCTATCCTGGGTTTTTTGTTTTTCCATATAAAGTTGATTATTGTCTTCTCCAGATCTGTGAAGAATTTTGATGGGATTTTGATGGGGATTGCATTGAATCTATATATTGCTTTTGGTAGAATGGAACTAGCTCTTGTAGACCAGGCTGGCCTCGAACTCATAGAGATCCCGCCTGCCTCTGCCTCCTGAGTGCTGGGATTAAAGGCGTGCGCCACCACTGCCCAGCTTGCTGTTGTTTACTTTTGAATCGTCTTTAGCCCTGTCTTCACAATTCCTTTGGTAAAGCGTTCTCCAAATGTCCTGAAGCTAAGCACCTACTGTAGCAGTGGGAAAAAGAAAACAAAAACAAAACACATTGCCATCGATGCTGGGAGTTACCAGAGAAGCCGGGGATAGTGGAGGGGTGGTAGTTTTGACGCCCCTGAAAATAGCCTGTAAATGTGCTTATGTATTAGTAGTTAGGTTTGGTATAAATCTTAACACTTTTCTCATTTTGATTTCTTATTTTGAGTCTATCACAGTAACTCCTGCCCTTAGAGCAAGATTCCACCCTCCCCTCCCTGCCCCCAAGTCTTTGAAGGCCAGCATTGGCTTTGCTAGAAAAGCTGCTCTCAAGGCCCAAAGGAGAGATGATATTGTTCAATTGTCAGGACTTTGTTCCCTCTTATGACCCTGTGACCCGGAGTGCATTCAGAGCATTCTAAGTCAGTACTTATTAAGTACTTATTAAGTAATTGCTGAATGTTTTTGCACAAGGTTAGGCGTCCTTTCACAGGGAACTTGCTCCTAATGCTTTCTTTCTTTTTCTTTTGTCTTATACCCAGGAAAAGAAACCATGCAGGCATTTCTAAAAGGCACATCTGCCGGTTCTAAACCACAGTTCACCAAGGACCGGGCAGTATCTGCCACTGCAGGAAGCAGTGGAGAAACCAAGAAAGTCAAACCAGTTCCTTGGGTGGAAAAATAGTAAGAATTAATCATTCTTTTGTTGGAATAACTAATCAGTTTCCTCTTTCATCAGTTCTAGTCCATTTTTTTTTTAATGTAAGGTGGATATGCTTGGGCATCAGATGTAACACAAATTCTAACTGTTTTTAATAAAAACCTGGAGTGAGGTATTAGGGGGTGAAAGCTGAAGGATCAGAGAAGTAGAGCAGCCAGCCACTGGAGAGACCTTTCACCTCTACTGAATCCTCCAATTGAAGGAGCAACTGTCCCTATGAACCCTCAAACTGCAATGAGCTCCTATCTCCTCCCAGCCATATCACTCCTGTCTCCTCCCTGGGGTTGGGATTAAAGGCCTAAGATCCCAAGGGCTAGGATCACCTTTGTGTGAGCTCTCTCTTTTAGACTATATCAATTTTGTGTAGCTCGGGGTAGCCTTGAACTAACAGGTCACCTGCCTCTGTCTTCTGAATCCTGGGATTAAAGGTGTGTGCCATCAGTGCCTGGCCTCTAGTGGCTTAGCTCTGCACTCTGATCTTCAGGCAAGCTTTATTTGTTAAAACACACAATATCACTACAGGGGATTTGCCGTGTATAGATGCTAACTTTGTGGGAAGGAAATCACCCAGTTATATAAGTCCTTGTACTGATATAGTGCTGAGTTTAATTGTTATTTCATTTTATAAGTGAGCTAAAATTTTTATAAAGGGTACAGTTTTAGAGTCTTAGGTACAGAAATAAACAACCTCTCTGTGAGCTGACTATAAACAGTAGTTCTACTGAAATCTCAGTTCTGTCCCCATTTACTATAATATGCTGGAAATTTTGGGGGTTGTTTTGTTTTTTAGCATAAGAAAAAAGGTTTGAAGTAGCACTAAGTTGTCATCAGCTAGGTGATACTCGGTGTAATCATTAACTAGCCTCTGTTGTTACCAAGGATTTTCAGGTTATTTACAAACTACACAAGGCCTTCGAGTTATTTTGTTGTTTTAATCATTTTTGAGAAACTAAAATATAAGTACATGCACATCATTCCCACCCTCCCTATCCCCAACTCATTGCATGTTTGTGTCCCCAAAGTCAGTGCTTATAGCAATCTAGATTTTGTTGTTTTAATTTTATTTATTGTGTATTCTGGAGAGTAAAGGTGCCTGTGTGCCACAGCCTGTGCCTGGCGGTCCAAGGACAACTTGTGGTAATCAGCTCTCAGCTTCCACCCTGCTGAAGCAGGATCTCTTGTTTCTCCTACTGTGCGCCTTCCCAGGCTCCTGGCTCCTGAGCTCCCAGGCAGTTCTGCAGGAGTGCTGGTGTTACTACAGCTGTCCTGTCTGCCCAGGTTCCGTGGGTCTGATTCAGAGCCTCAGGCTGTAAAGGCTAGCACTCACCTATGTGCCATCTTCCTGACCCTAATCTAGATTTTTAATTTACTTTTCATTAATTCACTGGCTTTTCTACATGGTAGGTAAGCACTCTACCAATGAACTGTACTCGAGCTCAGAATTCTATGTTTCTTTGCATTTCTAAGTTTTATCGTTGGGGAAGGAGGGTGCATGCCTTAGAAAGCATGCCTTGACTCACGTGGAAGACAGGACAGCTTGTAGGAGTTAAGTGCTTTTGCCTCTTATCTTACCAGCTCCAAAACTAGATTTTTTTTTTTTTTTTTTTTGGTTTTTCGGGAAAGGGTTTCTCTGGTTTTGGAGCCTGTCCTGGAACTAGCTCTTGTAGACCAGGCTGGTCTCGAACTCACAGAAATCCGCCTGCCTCTGCCTCCCAAGTGCTGGAATTAAAGGCATGCGCCACCACCGTCGGCTAGTTCAGCATCTTAGAGAAGGTATTGGACTAGGTAAATATAAGGTATGGCTAGTCCCTCTGCAGGGAAAACATCCACAATCTAACAGACTTGGATCCAGGTGGACTCTGTCTCAGGGATGTGCAGTGATTTCCATTGTTGAAAATGGTGTTAGAGATCTTTCTTTTTTTTCTTTTTGTTGTTGAAACAGGGTTTCTTTGTAGTGCTGGCTGTCCTGGACTTCTGTAGACCAGGCTGGCCTTGAATTCACAGAGGTCTACCTGCCTATACCTCCCAAGTGCTGAGATTAAANATAATAAATTTAAAAAAATATGTGGGGAAGGGAGAAATCTAGATTCTGAGCTTCCCCAATCAGTCTGGATACGTTCTTGCGTGACATCAGACTGTATGCTGCTTCTCCTTTGGAGAAGGCTTTACATCACCATATAGCTGCTGTTCATCGTTTTCATTGATAATCTGTCTAATCCTTGCAGGTATTTGGATGAGAGTTTGACTTACAGCACACAATGATTCTTGCCCAGTATTAACCTGATTAATTATAAAAGTGTGGGTCAGAGAATTTGGGGGCCAGTGAAAAGGCTCAGTGGGAAAGACCCTTGGCTGTGTAACCCTGACAACATAAGTGTGATCCCTGAACACCACAGTGGAAGGAGAGAAGTGACTCCTGCAAGTGTGTACACACACACAACACTAAAAAGTTTTGAATTGTGGTTTTTTTAGTTTACATGTGTGAGTGTTTGGCCTGCGTGTATGCCTGTGTACCATGTGCCCACAGAGGCCAGAAAGGGGTATCAGAGTCCATAGGACTATAGTTCTAGATGGTTGTGAGCTACCATGTGGGCACTGGGAATTGAACCCGGGCCCTGTGGAAGAGCAACAGTTGCTCTTAACCACTGAGACATCTCTGTAGCCCCCATAACTTTCTTAAAATAAAAGGATGTTTTGTTAGTTTATTAAGCAGAAACTTGAGTTGTAGAACCTGGGAGAACAACTTTGTCATAGTAATTACTGACTAATGGCTGGAGGTGGTGCTCACACCTTTAGCACAGCACTGGAAAGGCAGAAGCAGGCAGATCTCTGTGGTCCAGATAGCAAGTTCTAAGTTAGCCAGAGCTACATAGTGAGACTTTGTCTCAAAGTATAAAAATTACTAATACATTGCTTACAATAAAAGTTATTATCTGGGTGTGGTGGTGCACGCCTTTAATCCAAGCACTCAGGTGGCAGAGGCAGGCAGATTTCTGAGGTCAAGGCTACCCTGATCAACAGAATGAGTTCCAGGACAGCCAGAACTAACCAGATAAAAACCGTCTCAAACAAAACAAAAAAGGTCTCCTTTATTTTGGCGTAGTTAGTTGTTAGAAAAAATGATACTAACCATATAATGTATTAGTAGAGACAGAAAGTGTGTGTGTGTTTGTGTGTGTGTGTTTACGCAGACGTTAGATATATTTATTATTTTACAGACCAGACAGGTGTTCACCTTTTTCTTTTCTTTCTTTTTTTTCTCTTTTCTTTCTTTCTCTCTTTTTTCTTTCACCTCTCTTTCTCTTTTTCTTCCTTCCTTCCTTTTTTTAAAAATATTTATTTATTATGTATACAATATTCTGTCTGTATGCCTGAAGGCCAGAAGAGGGCGCCAGACCTCTTTACAGATGGTTGTGAGCCACCATGTGGTTGCTGGGAATTGAACTCAGGACCTTTGGAAGAGCAGGCAATGCTCTTAACCACTGAGCCATCTCTCCAGCTCCTTTTTTTTTTTTTTTTTTTTTTTTTAAGACAGGATCTTACTATGTAGCCCTGACTGTCCTGGAATACACTAGACTAGGAATATGTAGACCAAGTTGGCTTCAAACTCAGATTCTTGCTAGGATTAAAGAGGTGGGCCTCCATACCCAGTTCACTGTAAATTAAATTCCTCTGCTTAATAATTTATGCGTGCAAAAAACAAAAATCATTTCATTCCACTAGTGTGTATTTGTTTATGGTAAATACAAATGAAGACTGCCTACTTTCAATTTTATAACTGAGAAGCTATCATTGATTGGTATTTTAGCAGAAGGAACACTTGAAACTTCTGTGGCTACCACATATGTTAAAATAACCTCCCTTTCCTCCCTCCTTCAGTCGTCCAAAGTGTGTGGATGAAGTTGCTTTCCAGGAAGAAGTGGTTGCAGTACTTAAAAAGTCTTTAGAAGGAGCTGATGTAAGTAGATGGTGTTTGATGGCATTGGGAAGTTAGCATTTATTCACCTCTTCCTTTATTTTAACCTTTTATCCATAAATATAAATATAACCTTAAATATATGCTATAAGTCTTTGATGCTACAATTATCTTCTGTGTGGCATTCTTATGTGGTGTTCAAGATCACTGAATACAGCCTGGTGGTGGTAGTGCATGCTTTTAATCCCAGCACTCGGGAGGCAGAGGCAGGTGGATCTCTGAGTTTGAGGCCAGCCTGGCATAGAATGAGTTCCAGGAAAGCCAGAGCTACAAGAGAAGCTCTATCTGGAAAAACAACGACAAAGTACAGTGAGTAAGATACATTGGGACCCTTTCTCCATGAGCTTATATTTTGGAGAGGAAAGAGAATAAACAAGTAAATCAAGTTAGATATAAGCATGTTACAAGTAATTACAAATACTTGTTACAGAAAAGAGTCAATTTTAAAATAGATATAGTTGGATGGGTGTCGTGGCATGTGCCTTTAATTCTAACACTTCTGAAGAATAGGCTGCTCTGTTGTATATAGTAAATTCCAGAACAGTCACAGTGAGACCCTGTCTGAAACATGTGTATGTGTAGGTACATATTTTTTTAACCTAGTTTTATTAAAAAATAGAGCATTTAATTCTTAGAACACTGCATTTCCTGCCATGTATAGGACAAAATATCCTTGATAACTTGTTTTTAAATTATTATAGTCAACATAAGCCCATTTGAAGAGTTAGCAGGTTTGTTTGGTTTAGTTTTTGAGACTGGGTTTTAGGTACTCTAAACTAGCCTTGAATTCCCCTCATATTTTAGATAATCTCATATTTTAGAACCTCCTGGTTCTACTTCCCAAACCATGTGATTGCGGGTGTATACCAGGACACCTAGCTGAGTAAGCAGTTTTAAATTATATGTGAAGAGGTGTCCGCATGCCTTATGAGCTCAGTACAGAAAGGGAATCAGATGTGAGCATAGGACGTAGTTTTTGCTTTATTCTTACGTTCTGTCTCCTAGACCTGACTGCCTTTAGAGACTTGGTTTGCCCTTCCATTATTCATTTCTGAAGTTACGGCACAGGTTAAGGAGTGTCACTTTTCCAGAGTGATTGGAACCAAATATGTTTTGGATTTTTGATTGTGTTTGTTTTGTTTTGTTTTTTATTAGATTTTGGAATATTTGTGGGTTAGGCAACTTTGCATCTTTTTAACAAAATATCTGATATAAACAACTTAAAAGGGAAGTTTGTTTTGGCTTACAGTTCAGAAGTTTCATTACGTTTTGCACTACAGGCTGATGACAAAGCCTTAGCATATGGGCCTTTGGAAACACTTAAAACCTAAGCATTAACACTTACATAAATCCAAATTAAATGTATTTGAGATGAGACCCGCAAGTCAACACAGAATTCATTAATGTACCCTTGCCCTGAATTTTATACAGTGGCATTTTGTGAATTGAGTTTTTCATACAATCAAAAACAAAGCTGTAAATATCTTACCCACCCATGTAGGCAGTTGTGGATTGGTATCACATCATTGCTGACTTTTTTTTTCCCACTTCTTTTGTTTATTTGCCTTTTTCTGACAGTTTCTCTTTGTAGCTCTGACTGTCCTGGAACAATAAGTTACTGTTTTCTACATTCACATATCAGTGAATTAGTACTATTAGTGGTACATCAAACGTTCCCTTGTAGTACGATGAAAAAAAAATGTCTTCAGAGGAACCATGAACTTGTGGCAGCACATTAATGTTTAAAATAGTTTGGATTTGGGATTTCCAATGAGGGATTCTCAGCCTGTATTATACTACACAATGAGAAAAACACCTAGTAAAAATTTTTAAATCCTTTCCAGTATTCATTTTGATTTGATCCAAATACCATTTGTCTTTTAATGCTATAATAGTATACAATGTTAATTGGCTACTAACAGATTACAAAGTCTAATTATTAACATTTCTAGACAAATATAAGACTGTCACCTAATATAACATTGGTTAACCTCTTTTTTAGCTGGGCCTGCAAGTGCAGGTATACTCTTAGCTACTCAGGGATTGAGGCCTGAAGACTGTAAACTCAAGGCCAGTCAGGCCAAGTTAGCCAATCCTGCCTCAAAATATAAAGTCAAAAAAAGGGTGGGGATGTTTACTGGTCGATTTTTAAGTAGCATATACAGGGGTCTTATGTTTGATCTCCAGTGCTGCAGAAAAGGAGGTCTTATTTAATATTTTACACTTCATTTCTGAAGAAATTAATAAAGTGATTTTTGTTTTACTTTAAAGAGTTAAACGTCCTTTCTTTCAAATATTTTAAAATTTAACTACAATAGTTTTTTTTTTTTTTAAGATCAGTTTATATAGTATAAAAATTAATACTATTAAGAGAAGGTAGCCAGGCAGTGGCGTTACACGCCTTAATCCTAGCACTTGGGAGGCAAACAGATTTCTGAGTTTGAGACTAACCTGGTCTACAGAGTGAGTTCCAGGACGGCCAGGACTAACACAGAGAAACCCTGTCTGGAAAAACAAAAAAGAGAGAAAGGGTAATGGGGGTAAAAATATGATACACACACACACACACACAGTTATTTAATGTATAACTAATAAATGTTAACTAAAGACATTTTAAAATAATTTTATTCAACTGTGCAATGGTGGTGCACGCCTTTAATCCCAGCACTCAGGGAGGCAGAGGCAGGAGGATCTCATGAGTTCAAGACCAGCCTGGGCTACAAAGTGAGTTCCAGGACAGCTAGAGATACACAGAGAAACCCTGTCTCAAAAAACCAAAATAATAATTTTACTCTTGGCTTAAAGAACTGAGGTGTGTTATAGTTAACCTTGATTAATCATTACAAATAGAGCCATATACATATCAAAGTAATTATCACCTTAAAAAATCTGAACCTGAGAGGGTATGCTAATTGATTTGCACATTGCAGTGATACCATCCCTGACATAAACAGCTTAGGATTTAGGCTGTCTCACAGCACAGGGAAGGCATGGGACTTTTGTTGGCTGCTCATACTGCATTTATGACCAAGAAGCATAGAGATGAACGCTAGTCCTGACTCCCTGACTCTTTTTTTTTTTTCAAAGATTTATTTATTTATTATGTATACAACATTCTGCCTCGATGTATGCCCGCACGCCAGAGGAGGGCGCCAGATCTCAATACAGATGGCTGTGAGCCACCATGTGGTTGCTGGGAATTGAACTCAGGACCTCTGGAAGAGCAGCCAGTGCTCTTAACCTCTGAGGCTTATTTCCTCAGTGAATCTAGAACATGTCACGTTTACAATCAGTCCTACATCCCAAGTCTCTTGTCACCTTGACATCCAAACATACGACTTTTTTTGTTTGTTTTGGTCTTTTGGTTTTTCGAGTCAGGGTTTCTCTGTAGCTTTAGAGCCTGTCCAGGAACTCACTTTATAGAACAGGCTGGCCTCAAACTCACAGGGATCCACTTGTCTCTTCCTCCCGAGTGCTGGGATTAAAGACATGTGCCACCACCATGAAATGGCTCCAAACATACAACTTTTAAGCTATGCTGTTCTGACCCTTATCCCCATAGGGGCTGGCTCATAATACAAAATGTATTCAACACAATTTCAAAAATTCTGTCTTAAAGAGCAGAGACTTCTGAGACTCCCTCTGTAAGCTGTGAGTCCCTTACAATCCAAGCCAAGTTACATAATTTTAATATACAATTGCAAAGTGAACATCCCTCTCCCAAAAGGGAGGAAGGGCACATAGCAAGGGAAGAATAGATCAAAGCATATCTTAAACCAGCTGGACAGACAAACGTGGTTCTAGAACAAAGGACTTAGGTAGCCTCATCCCTCCAGCTTGGCCACCTCCAGTACACATGATTTCTATCTTGGACCAGCTCCTCAGTAGATATCCCACTATCTTATGTCTCCCACATCCCGGGGTCTCCACTGCAACTTCTGCCTCACTTTCACAGTAACCTCAGCAGCCTTTCTAAACTTTGGCATAAGCACTATGACTTTATTCTTAAATTGTTCATATCTGTAAAACTAGTACCATGTAGGTGATGATACTAAGTTCTGCTTCTAGTTCAACATGTAGCTTGGTCTGTCTGAACTAATGTTTCATAGACCTGTGTGGCTTCTGGGCTGACCCTAGAATATTCCTAGAGATATTCTTCAAGGACATACCCAAGGGTTTGTGAACCCAGGATCTGTTAATATTAATCATCATATAGGATATTTTGATTTTTTTTGAAAAATAGGTTCTCATAGCTTTATCTAAACTATGTGTTGTTAATGTGGTAGTGTTTTTTTAAAAAATAATTTTATTTGCATTGGTATTTTGCCTACATGTATGTCTGTAAGGTTGTCAGATCTTGGAATTAATGACAGTTGTTAGCTGCCATATGGTTGTTGGGAATTGAACCTGGGTCCTGTGGAAGAGCAGTCAGTGCTGTTAACTGCTGAGCCATCTCTCCAGCCCCAATTTTTTTCTTCCTCTTTTTTCTATTTTAGGGTAGGATTTCTCTGTGTAGCCCTGGCTGTCCTGGAACTCACTCTATGGACTAGGCTAGCCTCAAACTCAGAGATCTGCTGGATTCTGCCTCTGAGTATTAGGATTAAAGGCATGCACCACTACACCCAGCAGTAAAAGTTTTTCACCTTTTTAAATGAGCTATCTAGTGAGGTTGGCAGGAATTTTATAATTAAATTCAACTGTTAAACAATTAATAAGTGCAGATTTTAAAAAGTGCAGCAAATATAGAATCCAGCTTGCAGTGCATAGCCTTGACATGGCAAGCAGAATGGTGTCAGAGTCCAGATTGAGAATTACATACATTCAGAGGAGAAAGTTCTTTCTTACTGCAAGTCATTATAAGTGCTTGAGGTTTTGTTGCTGTTTTCTGAGTGGAGTAGGAAGCCAATGAAGGCTTTTAAGTGGCACTCAGGGCAGTACCTGGGTGTTTGGGTAAAGCATGAATGAACAAGAGGGGCAACATCTGGTAAAAGTCAAACTACCACCTACTTATCTTCAGAATTCTACCTGAGTTAGAGCTTAATGCATTATCAAGGTACAGTAGACTGGAATTCTAAGTGGAGGCAGGAGGGTCAGGAGTTCAAGGTCATCTGTAATTACATAGCAAGGTCAAAGGCATATTTAGAACTTTAAACACTGCGACAGCATTTATATTAAATGTAGTCCATCAGGAAAGTCTTCATACCATTTCACAGACCGTTGGGTTTTGTCGGTTTCATCTATTTATGACAGAATATAATCTACAAAAATTAAAATTTAATTTTTGCAGCTTCCTAATCTCTTATTCTATGGGCCACCCGGAACTGGCAAAACATCCACAATTTTGGCAGCAGCTAGAGAACTCTTTGGGTAAGTTGACATTGGTTGATGTCTTAGTCACTTTTCTATTGATGTTAAGAGACACCATGACAAAGATGACAAATATCAAAGAAAGCATTGAATTGGGGTTTGCGTACCGGTTTTCAGAGGTTTAGTCCATTATGGTCATGGTAGGGAGCGTGGTGGCTCACAGGCAGGCATGATGCTGAAGAAGCAGCTGAGAACTACATCCTGATCTACAGGCGGTGACAGAGATAGCCTAGGTCTGGCATGGGCTTTTGAAACCTCAGAGCCCACCCTAATGGCACACATGCTCCAACAAGGCCACAAATTCTTTTCTAATAGTGCCACGTTTTGATGACTATGCTTTCAAATAAATGAGGCTTTGGGGGTCATTCGTATCTAAACCACCACAGCTGGTCAATTTCTTTTTAAAGACTATACACCAAGGACTAAAGAGATGGCTTAAGGGTTAGGAGAACTTTCTGATCTTCCCATAGAACCAGAGTTTGGTTCCTAGCACCCACATATGGTGAGTCACAAATACCTGTTAACTCCAGCTCCAGGGGATCAGACACCTTTTTGTTTTCAGGTATCCAAACACACATGGCATTTACTCACATAGAAACATGCTAAGTAAAAATGTTAAGTAAAAGAAATGGTTTTGAGAGATGACTCAGTGGTTAAGACCATTCACTAGGAGATGACTTCGGTTTTTCTGATCTTCAGAGAACCTAAGTTCCCCTCCCAGCACCCATGCTGACCAACCATGCTTTAACTCCGGCTCATCCTATACCTGTTTCCTCCATGGGCATCTGCACTCTGGACACACACACAAAGCACACATAATTAAAAATACTTTTAAAAGACTTAAGGTTCATTTCCTGACATCTCCAGACAGCTGTGGGTGGTGGGCAGCACATCTTTAATCCCAACACTTAGGAGGCAGGGGCAGGCAGATCTCTGAGTTTGAGAACAGCCTGGTCTACAGAGTGAGTTCCAGTACAGATAAACAGCCAGGACTACATAGAAAAGCCCCATGTGGGGGGTTGGGGGAGGGATATGTTCATAGACACTCATTGTGCATACTTGTAACACTTAAGAGGCTAAGGCAGGGGGCTCATGAGTCTAAGGCTACATGACAAGAACAGTTTCCAAAATAATGTTTATAATTGTCTTAAAGAATGTACTTGTAAATGCCATACTTAGTTGTACATGTGACTTTTCAAAGTACATGCACTGAGTTCTCTAAATGTTTATGCCTTAGAATATTTAGGATCTCATACTAATTTGGAAAAATGAAGAATAACCTAAACCACTGGCTTAGAGAGATGGTTTAGCTTTATCAAAGGTAGCAAAGAACCAGAGTTCAGATCAGGTAGCTTATATCAGCACTAAGGGATCTAATACACCCTCTAGCGTCTGGGCACAGACAGACAGACAGACAGACAGACAGACACACACACACACACACACACACACACACATGCACTAGACATGATAGAACACTCCTATAATCCCAGTGAAATAATCTCAAATTTGAGGCCAGTTTGGGCTTCACAGCAAAACCCTGTTTCCAAAAAGAAAAAGTATATGTGCACATTTTGTCTGTGTAGAGAAAATACTAGAGAATTTGGAAAACAGTGGTTTTCTAGGGGATAATTTTATTTTATTTCTCAGATCTCTATAGTGGCATATACTACTTTAAGTAAAAAAATGTTTCTATACCAGTTAGTAGTGGTGGTGCACGCCTTTGATCTAGCAATCAGGAGGCAGAGGGATCTCGGTGAGTTCAAGGCCAGCCTGTCTATGATTCTAGGATAGCCAGAGATAAAACAGAGAAATCCTGCCTCCAAAAACAACAGTGACAAGAAAAGGTTTGTATGCCAGGTGTGATGGTACATGCCTATAAATCCTATACTGAAAAGTGGAAATAGAACTGAAAGCTGAGCCACCCTGAGTTACATAGCTCTAATGTAGCCTGGCTATGAGCATCCATCTCTTATGGGCAGGAAAGCTTATTTTGCAGTGGTATCACTGACTGCAGTCTCAGCCAGTGAGAGACCCTGAAGGCTTCTGTAAGAGCCTTTCTCCCCGTGCTCCCTCCAGCAGTCTAGACAGGAAGATACTGAAGACAGTTCTTCACAGGTGACGGCTTCTAGTGGGGGAGGCTCACTCATTTTTATCATGTTCCGCTGAGTATATGGACAGCACAAATTGTACCTGGTATATTTTTCTCTTTGTGGGGGTTGTGGGGGTACCTGGAAAGACTGGGAAGCAAGTGTGATAGGGGTACATTGTGTGAAATTTCCAAATAATAATCAATAGAAATATTATGGAGAAAACATCTTTTAAAACGTTCATATTTAGGGGCTGGAGAGGTTAAGAGCACTGGCTGCTCTTCCAGAGAACCTGAGTTCAATTCCCAGCAACCACATGGGGCACACAGCCATCTATAATGAGATCTGGTGCTTTCTTCTGGCCTGCAGACATATGTGCAAGCAGAATACTGTATACATAATAAAATCTTTAACAAAAAATTAAGTTCTATTTAGGCTTGAGGTATATGCCCTGAGTCTGACCCTTGCCACATACAACCTTACTCATTCATGTTTTAATCCAGAAACTTACCTTTTAGCAAGTTATTTTATGGGAATAATTCAATGTGCTAAATTATAACATTTAAAACCCAATAGATATCTAACAATGGAATGAATGTTACTGGTTTTAGTAGAAAGTGGATGCTTATTACACAAAACTGAGAGATTAAATTTTTATTTATTTATTTATTTGAAGACGTGGTCTCACTGTATGTAGACGAGGCTGGCCTTAAGATCTGATTGCCTCTGCCTCCCAAGTGCTGAGATTAAAGTTGGCCACCATGCCTGGGCTCTAGGTTTTAGCCAAAATGTTAGATGCATAGCTCCACAAAGAAAGACCATGTGTGTAATTATGCCGCCTTTTGGTTTTGCTCACCGGGTGTGTTCTAAACTCCAGAGTTAAAACAGCATCAGCACCTGGGTTATTTAGTGCTGTTATGTTTCATAATGCTTTTCATTTTGAAATAGGCCTGAACTCTTTCGACAAAGGGTTCTTGAGCTAAATGCATCTGATGAACGTGGAATACAAGTAGTCCGTGAGAAAGTGAAGAATTTTGCTCAGTTAACTGTGTCAGGAAGTCGTTCGGAGTAAGTAACTTGCCTCCCCTCTCCATAATACAGCTCCTTCTGTTTGCTTTAAATGTAGACTGTGGTTTAAATTTGGCCTCCAGTGTGGCATTTGGGTGAGATAATTGGAAGTTATGAAACTAAGTCCCCTCGTGTCTTTATAAGAGAATGGTAGACCCTGTTTAGCACAATTATTCAGTAGTTTTGACAAAAAAAAAAAAAAAATCCTCAACAGATAAACTGTCACAACCTTTCAGTCTCAGATACCATGTTATAACAACACAGACTAGCCTAAAATCAATCTGAGTTCACAGTAGGAAGTGATTACACCTAGAGTGAATGGAGAGAGTGAGAAGTAGACGAATAGGCAGCAACTTAGGTTCCCTGCTCTTGATGCAGCCAGGCCCTGCAAGGTCCTATTGCTATTGAGTCTGGTTCTCCCTCAGCATGTGGTCTTGCTATGAGAGCCTACACTGTACTAATTCTGCAGCTGTTCTGTCTCCTCCCTGGGGTGGGTAGCAGGGTCATGCCTCCTCCCTCCCTCTGTTGTTACATGAAAGGCATTGGTGTCAGTCACTAACAGCCTGGCAACATGAAGGCTAAAAAGCCTTAGAATGCTTCTAGTAGTTTCCTGAATATCATAAAACTGTCCTGAGCCAACTAAATGAACAGTAAAAGCCAAAAACAAGATTCATCTTCATTAAATAAAAATGCTATAGAAAATAAAAATGAAGCGAAATCAATGTACAGAAAATAACCCACAAAATTGAAATGTTTACAAGTCATATCTAGAAAAGGACTTATATCCAGAATATATAAAGAATTTAATTAAAAATACAACTACAAAATGGGCAAAGATCATAGACATTTCTCAACCAATACCATGGCTGAAATAAAAAAAAAAAAAAGACAGAAAACAACCAGCACTTGTTAAGGAGAAACACTGTAAATCTCACCTATTGATGGCTGGATTATAAAGTAGTACAGTGTCTTAGAAAATAGTTTGTCAGCTCCTCTAATGATTAAGTAGAATTGCACTTGAGTGAGATAGCCAACAGTGAAGGACCAGCTCCTGAGTCCAATCCTGGAATCCATGCGATGGAGACTGGTTGTCCAAAAGGTTGTCCTCTGACCTCACTTGAATGCTGTACACACACACACACTTTTTTTTTGTTTTTCGAGACAGGGTTTCTCTGTAGCTTTGGCGCCCGTCCAGGAACTAGCTCTTGTAGACCAGGCTGGCCTCAAACTCCCAGAGATCCGCCTGCCTCTGTCTCCGAGTGCTGGGATTAAAGGTGAGTGCTGGGATTAAAGGCGTGTGCCACCACCACCCGGCCACACTTTCTTTCTTTTTCTTTTTTCTTTTCTTTTTTTTCCTTTAAGATTAAGAATTACCACGTGGGTGCTGGAGCAATGGCTTAGAGGTTAAGATGGCTCTTCCAGATGACCCGGGAACAATTCCCAGCACCCACATGGTGGCTCACAACTGTCTGTCTACAGTTCTGGAAGATCCAACACCCTTATATATGCAAACACATAGTCAAAACATCAATGAACAAATAAACTATATTTTTAAAAGGAAAAGAATTAAACCACATGACCCAAAAATTCCATCCCTTGTATTCTTGCATAGAAGATTAAAATTGATGAATGCCTAAATGTGTACAGATGTAATTATTCCTATTAGACAAAACACCAAAATATCCAAATTAGTGGGTAAACAAAATGTGAAATACCCATCTGCCTATTTGGTTATAAAGAAGTTAAGTATTGGCACCCACTACTATATGGTTAAGTGAAAAAACCAAGCTATAGATCATACCTTCATACAGGCAGTAGATGAGTGGAGCTGGGGTCTTGACAACAGCTGCTTTTTCAGGGAAAAGTCTAAAGTTAGATTTGTTGACGGCTTTACTGTAGGTTCCCCAAACTGTCTATACTGTCAGTTACCTGTGGTTAACTATGGTCTGAAAACAACTAATGGAGAACTTCAGAAATAGTTGGTTTAAATTGCACACCATTCTGAGTAGCTTAGAGACAATGTCATTTTGACCAGTCTGAGACATAAGTTTGTCTGGGATGCCCACTCTGAACTGTTGCTGGAGTATAAAAGGAGGTTAAAATTACCCTATAGCACAAAGAACAGTAATATTTGTTGAATTTCATTTATCTGTATCATTTTATAAACAATATAGGTTGAGATGATTCAGAGGGAAAAAAGTATTTACCATGCAAGCCTGAAAACCTGAGTTTGTTCTCCAGAACCCTTGTTAAGGTGGAAAGAACCCACTCCAGTTACCCTATTTTCTTACAGGAGTGCTGTGGGAAGCATGCACCTACCCATACACATTATACACACACCCTAATAAGCTGAGTGTTATTTACAAGTTATAGGTTACCACATACTAAGATACAAGTGGATGAACTGTGTATTATATCTCAGCAAAGATACTTATTTGTTTTTAACTCGTGTTTCTGATTTAGTGGGAAGCCATGTCCTCCCTTTAAGATTATAATTCTGGATGAAGCAGATTCTATGACCTCAGCTGCTCAAGCAGCTTTAAGACGTACCATGGAAAAAGAGTCTAAAACAACCAGATTCTGCCTCATCTGTAACTATGTCAGTCGGTATGTATACGCCCTGAAGCGACATGCTAAGCCGCCTTTTTAAAACGAACATCGGTATGCCAGGTGACTTGTCTATACATTCATACATGTGTAATAGTTGGATCAAAGTAACTGATTCATCTTTCACTTTGGATTTGTAGTGACAACATTCCTTATTCTATGTTAATTTGAAGTGCACCATCATGGTTGGTTTTCAATCTTTTCCAGAATAATTGAACCCCTCACTTCTAGATGTTCAAAGTTCCGCTTCAAGCCTCTGTCAGATAAAATTCAGCAGGAGCGACTACTGGATATCGCTGAGAAGGAAAATGTCAAAATCAGCAATGAGGTAAATACTAATTATGATTATATATTAATTCCTTTTATGAATGTACATCTTAAAGAGGTCCTGAAAATTATAATTGAGCACAATTGAAACTCATGATTCCACATATACTTTTCCTGAGACGGTTTCTGTGTACTCTATAGAAACCTCTGCTTCCCCCAGTGCTGGGATTAAAGGCATGCCCTACCACTTTTTAAATGGCCTCTTCACATTTGATTCCTTTCTAAAGCAAAGGTCTACCTTTGCACAGATGCTATCTCAACCCACCTGCAAGACTGAGAAACCCTGTCTAAAAACTGGCTAGACTCCAAACAGGATTCTCTCCAGCATTATGGAAATCTAGTTGTCTTTGTGTGGCAAGTTCCTGGTAAGCCATCTGGCCAGACCAATTTTCTTAACTCTTTTTCAGGGAATAGCTTATCTTGTTAAAATATCAGAAGGAGATCTACGGAAAGCCATTACATTTCTTCAAAGTGCTACTCGACTAACAGGTGGAAAGGAAGTCATGGAAGACATCATCACAGACATTGCTGGCGTGAGCACTAGTTGTTACCTTGGCAACTCCTGGCTCTTTATTATTCCAATACTCAAGTTGGAAACCTTGCCCTGACTTTTTTTTAAATGTCTATTCTTTCAGGTAATACCAGCTCCAACCATTAGTGGAGTGTTCACTGCATGTCACAGTGGCTCTTTTGACAAACTAGAAGCTGTGGTAAAGGTAATTATTAGTTAAAAGAACTGCTTTGAAAATCTTTTTATTATCTGATAAAATAAATTATTTGTTGCAGGACCTAATTGATGAAGGGCACGCAGCTATTGAGCTTGTTAATCAACTTCATGATGCAGTTGTAGAAGATGAAGAGCTTTCTGATAAACAGAAGTCCATTATTACAGAAAAACTTGCTGTAAATATTGAAATATTGAATATTGTAAGGCTGTGCAGAACTGTATGTCTCTCTGCCCCCAGGGTGCCTGACTTAAACTTTGCTTATTCCCTTTGCAGGAAGTGGATAAATGTCTGGCAGATGGTGCAGATGAACACCTTCAGTTGATGAGCCTCTGTGCAACTGTGATGCAGCAACTAACTCAGAACTGTTGAAGACCAACTTGTATGATCTTTTTAGCTAATAAATAAAAGACAAAAAACCTATAAAGTGAATATACAATTTATTTAACATTCAAACTTCATTAAGACATGTGCAATATGGCAATTTTACTGTGGGTTTAACCCTACCTAGGATGATTGCTTGCTGAGGCTTAGCAACAGGGTCCAGTTCACGCTTAGCACTAATTAAATACTTTATTGAATAAATACAATACCAAACAAAATGCATTCAAATGTTTTCTAAAAAAAAGAAATCACTTTTAAAGGCCTTTCTAATCAGGCTAATGACAAATACAATAAAGGCAGATATGCTAGTTTAACATAATTGGCTGATTTTATACAGCACTTATATCTTTTAGTCCACAAGTATATTATTAAATGATAGAGAACATCTAATACAACCATTTCTACATAACTAGTAAATGAATTTCTAAGAAAAAAAGATTTTACAGACCCCATCTTTTTATACCCACCCCAACAGTCTAACTCTAAAGAGGATAAAGCCAATGCCTTCCCTCACAAGAGCTCAGGACTAAAGTCGCTTTGCTATCAGAATCTGTATTTGTGATCCGTTATGAGCATTGAGACAAGATTCAAATATTCTCAAAGAAGCACAATGCACGTTGTGATCGCCTATTCAGCAACAGCGAGCACTGCATTCAAACTATCTCATCCCAGGAATTAAATAAGGTCAGCCACATTCATGGGCATTTCCTCCACTGTAGTATTGTAGAAAGTCTCAATGTCACGAAGAATCCTCTTGTCTTCTTCAGTAACAAAGTTTATAGCCACACCTTTCCTCCCAAATCGACCCCCTCTGCCAATTCTGTGTAAGAAAAAAAAGAAACCAGCAGTCAGGATGTTGCTTTAGTATTACTTCATACTACTGAATATGACGATCCACTTGTTAACCATCAGCTGCTGTTTACTTATGGTTATAGTTCGTGCTTCTAAGTGGAGCACTAGCCGCTAAAAACCAATATATCCAGAGGTGGGAGGAACCATCTTCCTCTGCAGTTAGTGCCAAAAGATTTCAAGGCTTGTCTGGCTGCAAAATGAGATAGGCGCCTTGAGCATTATAATAAAAGCAGATGACAGTATTGTGTTTGGGGTGAATTAAAGCCCATACCAAAGTGGGCCAGCCAGGAGCAGATGTCAGCCTGGGACAGATGTAAACACCAGGGATAAAAGAAAACAGTTATAAAATCCATTTCGACGCACTTCTGGAACTGTAAACTGTAAATACAAATGCTGCAAGGTTAACTATTTTCTAAAACTTACTTTTTTCCAGTGGGAAAACAAATATTTGGTATGGTAACCCAAACTTATCATCACTGCTTTTTGCTCAGCTTTTCACACGTTATACTCAAGATTACTCAAACGTGTTACCTCCAAAACAGCTCTACCTTCCTACCAAGTACCAGACAGTACAGACCACCTAACGCTCCCTATCATAAATGCTAACATAACAAAATGCCTTGGGCTGGAACAACTTAAAATATCAAATAATCATGACAAAAGAAAATCAAATATAAATACCGACTCGCTCTTTATTCAAACAGTGTGCTGTTTCGCTTATGATTCCACGTCCTAAATTACGTCAACGCCGTTTCTGAGCGCCATCTCGTCATCAACTGCCGCTATCGACTCCTGTATTTTTTAAAAAGTCTTTTTTTACATCATATAACAAAGTACAATTCAATTTATTTAGGGATAAAAGCCACTATAACTAAACCAGGGAATCACTCAAAATGCTACCAGCAACACCAAGAAAATCCCAACTCTATAGAATCAATCACCAAGAAAGAAGCACATGAACTCAAGAAAAAAATCACTAAGGCTCAAACATAAGCTAAGACCAAAAAAAACTAAAGCAACCTAATCAGCATGTATGTACACAACCTTGGCCACATTTACAAGTTTTCCCACTTTGTTCTGATCAATATTCCCAAATCCAATTTTACTTAGACCTTAGTAAATTATGCCTATTTACTGGAATCTATTCCCTGAATTGCCATTACCTTGTGTATAAAACACTGTAGGAAAACGTTCGAAATTCCTTCTCCAATACAAGTGGAGAAGATGCTTTCTCCTCACCTGTGAATATAGTTTTCACGATTGGTAGGTAGATCATAGTTTATAACCAAGGACACTTGTTGCACATCAATCCCACGAGCCTGAAATAGAAACAAGGCTTTTCAATACCCTAAAATTCAACAAACTAGACATTCCTATGATTATTGTAGGCCACAAGATAGTAATGAACCATACTAAATGGTATAGTCCACTGTGGAGTGTGGTCTAACTTATTCTGCCAAATAGCTTAAGTTGGTTAAGGTTATTTAAAATAACCTTCCCCACAAATCTAGCTTTTTGGTACTTTATAAAAAGGGGGCACACTTACCAACAAGTCAGTAGTGATCAGAACACGACTTGACCCTGATCGGAACTCCCTCATGATGACATCTCTTTCCTTCTGGTCCATGTCACCATGCTGCAAATGTTAACAACCTTTTAATCAAGGATCTCTAGTAAGGTACACATTTAATTTCGTGTATGAGACCAAGCGTCCCTGGCTGCTACTGAGTGTATAGCAGACAGGTATAGTTAAGAAACAATATTGTTTTGAGCAGGGGGAACGACAACATAGCACTCAACAGCCATATTGTAGTTAAATCCTGCTTAATGAATGTAATTTGATTAGCATTACTAAATCCAACTCTTACCAGAGCAGAAACGGTGAAGTCCCTGGCATGCATTTTCTCTGTGAGCCAGTCCACCTTGCGCCTTGTATTGAGAAAAATAACCGCTTGTGTGATGGTCAATGTCTCATACAAGTCACAAAGAGTGTCCAACTTCCATTCCTCTCTTTCAACATTAATATAAAACTGTTTGATTCCTTCAAGGGTCAATTCTTCCTTCTTCACCAGAATTCGAATTGGATCTCTCATGAATTTTTTGGTCACTTCTAACACATCAGTTGGCATTGTGGCAGAAAGCAACACAACCTGAATGCTTGTATTTAATTTTTGGAAAATCTCATAGATTTGATCCTTAAACCCTCGGCTCAACATTTCATCTGCTTCATCCAAAACAAACATTTTGATCCATTTTGGAGAAAG